AGAGGGTGGCCGCCCTGGGGAGCAGTGGCCAGGAATCAAACCCAGGTCCCTGAGGCAAACTGCTGGGATCGGACACCGCACTTGCCAGTGATGGGCCACAGGAGGCTCCTCTAGTGCATGCACGTAGGTGATTTTGGTATCCTTAGATGCTGCCCACTTGGTTCCAACCCATAGCAGCTCCACCGACAGCCACCTGGCACCAGCCTCGCAATCATTGCTGGAGCCCACTGTCGTGGCCACTGTGCCATCCACCCTATTGAGGGTTTTCTTTTCTACTGATGCTTTTCCCTACGAAGTTTGATGTCCTCCAGGGACTGGTCCCTCCCAATCGCAGGTCCAAAGTAGGTGAGGCCACTTTGCCACCTTCCATTCGAGGGAGCACTCTGAGGGTGCTTCTTTCGAGATAGGTGCCTTTGTCCTCCCGGCTCCCGCCCAGCAGGGAGAGCAGCTCTGACTCGCAGGACCTGGCAGGAGCTCGCTAAGACCCCGGAGAACGGTCCTGTGGCAGCTACCTCATCTCCTGCTTACTTGCGAAGGGGTGGAGCCTAGTGTGTCAGTCAGGCCACAGCTTGACGATCTCATTTGGAGGTGGAAAGGAGATAAATAGCTCACTGGGGCTAGACACACACTCCCTCCCTGCTACACATTCCTGTTGACCAACCACATGGAGCTACACTGATGGAGCCAGAGCCCTGCAGCTGGAAGAGTCACGTGGAGACCTCTGCCAGCACTGAGATGCTTCCACTGCCACTGGATCCACTAGATTTTCCACCCACTGGACTGTGATCTTCCTGCATTCGGCGTCATTGCATGTGTTGCGTGAGTCTGAAGAGGACTTTATAGATTGGTATTGGACATATGGGCTAATTTCGGACTTTTGGACTCGATCTGGACTGGACTGGGATGTTTTCTTAATAAACAATTACCCTTTGATATGAAGTTCTCTCTTACACACATATGAGTGTCTCTGGATTTGTTTCTCTAGTCAACCCGGACTAATACAAGTCCCTACAGACAACGACAGGACCTTTAGATAAAGTGACCAGATTTAAAGTGGGACACCATTGACCAGGGGCCGGGGGAGGGTGTTCTTGATTAAAAATTTGGTCTATAGGGGCCAAATAGACTGTTCCCTAGCTTGTCATGCATTCTTTCCAAAAATCGGGACTTTTTAAAAATGCCGAAAATCAGGACTGTCCCGCCAAAAGTGGGACATCTGGTCACCTTAGTTTAGAACTTCCCTTGTCGGTTTCCAAGATTGTGACCCTTTAGGGAGTAGAAAGCTTCATCTGGCTGGAGAGGAGAGGCTGGTGGTTTCAAACTGCAGGCCTTTTGGTTAGCAGCCCAATGCCTAACTCACTGTGCCACCGTGCTAGTGCCACCGTGCTCTTTGTCCGGGCCATGCTTCAAGTTCAAGAATTCCTTGCTTTATCACCATTCCCTTTTCACATGCACATGGACCATTGAAAGTCCTGTGAGTTGGGTCAGGTGCCCCTTAGCCCTCAAGTGACATCTTTGCTTTTGAACTCCTTGTCCAGGTCTTTTGCCCGATGCAATACTTTGTTTAATGTTTTTAACTGTTGCATTCATGAGTATCAGTTGCAGATCCATGTAACACTGAATCTTTGACAGCTTCAATATTTTCTCTGTTGTTATGATCTTGCTTATTGGTTCTGTTGTGAAGACTTTTGTTTCCTTTAAGTGGAGGCATAATCCATACTGAACACCAGAGTCTCCCATTAAGCCCTCTTCCCAGTGCCATCTGTCCATCACAGGGGGTCATTGAGCCTTCCTCCTGCCCTGGTGGCAGGCTCTTCTTCACACAGTCCAGCTTCTTGGATGATTGGCTCCCTATACACAGTGCATCAATATGCTGAAAAGATACAACCCAACACACATGTTTCCAGGTCTTAAACCAAGCAATGGTTGTCTCCTTGTCTGTGGAAACGACTGCCTCCTGGTCCATGTAGAGGTTCAGTCTGAGCACAGTGACGTGCTCTGGAATTCCCATTCTTCCCAGAGGTATCCACCATCGGTCAGATCCACAGAGTGGATCTGATCAATGCCTCGGCACAGTCAATCACACAGAGGTAAGCCTCTTTCTGGCACCCTCTGCTCTCAGCCCAGACTCATGTGATGTCAGTCATGACATATCCGGTTCCACATCATGCACGGAGTCCAATCTGGATTCCAGCAGCTGCCTGGGAGCACAAAAACCCTCCAAGAAGCTGTGAGGCCAAGCTTAGTCCTGCCCTCCCTGATGGGCTGGGCCCCTGCAGGGTCAGTGCCGAGCACACCAGACACGCTTCGCACCCTTAGAAGCCACCCTGGTTGGTCAATGGCATTCTGCAGAGGCCCAGGGCCTCTGGGAGCAGGTCTCGCACAGATGACTTGGCACTCTGTGTATAATGACGTGCGCCTTCCTCACTGCATTGCCACCCACCAAGCCTTGGGTGAACGAGCCCACTTTCCCTGAGGACAGGCTGGCTCTCTGACCAAAGCCCGGCCCTCCCTGACCCAGCACGGAACCCGCCCCTGTGCTGTCTTCTCTGGCTCAGCCTTCCTTCTGGAGTTTCTTCAGATTCTTCCCAACTCTATGATCCAGTGTCCTGCTCTCTGCTCCGTCCATCCTGAGCCAGGGTCCTGCTCTCTGCTCCGTCCATCCTGGCATCGCCCTGGTCCGCCTAGGCCTCCGAAGCTCAGCTCCATGGGCTGTCTCCTGTCCTGGGACGGACCATTCAGTAGACCTACCTCCCACTTGCTAGCACAAGATCTTTTCCCCTAGGGATAGCACCTCGAGGTAAAGAAAACTCAAATTCCCACAAGTGGACCAAGAGACAACATCATGACATATGGGGAAAAGATCGAAGCTGTCAGCGATTTCATTTTACTCGGATCCAGTGCTCACAGGAGCAGCCGCCAGACATCAAGTTGCACATCACAGTGGACCAAGTGTGAGATGTCTTTAAAATGTTAAAGAACAAAGGCAGATACTTTGTGGACCAAGGTGCACCTGGCCCACACCAGGGCATTTTCAAACGCAGAGTCTCATGTGCTTTGGACAGGTGTCAGGAGAGAGCTTCCCCTGGAGAGGGACATCACCCTGGCAGAGTGGAGGCTCAGTGAGGAAGAAGGAGAGTCTTAATGGAATGGGTTAGCCCTGTGATTGCAACAGTGGCTCTCACATGACAATTGTGAGTGCGGTGTAGGACTGGGCAGTGTTTCATTCGGTTGGACAGAGCACAAGGGCAACCTCTCTCTTGAGATTGGCCTCCTCACTAAGCCTGGTGCCCTCAAGCACACAAGAACCTTGGCGGGGGAGGGGGGGTAGGAGATGAGGCAATGTTTTGTTGAGTGGCCCATCGAGTCACAGGACCCGGGCCGAGTTAACAGCCGCCACATGGCAGGCAAGACAAGAAACACTTCCTTCCCTAAAGGCCCAGTTGTGCTTGGCCACAAACAGCCCTACTCAGTAAACGTGGACCCACGGAAGTGGCCCATGAAGTCAAACTATCCCAGGTAGCATACCGCCTCAGGAGCAAGGACCACGCTGCCTGGCCAGAGTCCATGAGCAGAGTCAGGTGACCTGACCAGACCATCTGGTCCTCTTCCTTGGAGACGTCTTGAAGGAGACCCATCTCTGCATTCTTCTGTGGAGTTTGATACCACCATCAGTTAGTGACCACAATTAGGAGGCAGACTTCGTATTCCGGCGAGGATGCTGTCCCACCCAGCCTGCTGGCCATCAGAGTCAGTACTACCTCACCCGGGAGGGACACGCTCTCTCTCCTGCCCTCTGTGCAAGGTTTTCCTGCTGTCCAGCAGCTGGGGACAGGGAGTTGACCACAGAATACGTGCTTCTGGGGTGCTCGGGAGCAGTAGCACGTGGTCCTTCACGTGGTCCCTCTCTGCCTCTGTCTGTCCTCTCTGCCTCTCTCCCCTAATGTCTCTTTCTGTCTCCTTCCTTTTCTCTGACTCTCTTATCTCTCCTTTCAGTCTCTCTCCCCAGCCTCTCTCTCCATCTCTCCCCTGCTCTTTGTCTCTCTCCACCCACTCACGCATCCCTGCCAAGGACACGTCTCTGCAGTCTCTGGGGCCCCTCCTCCGCATCTCTGCCTGCTTTCTCTGCCTCTCTGCTCGCACACAGCCTGGGGCACTCTCTCAGGATCACAGTTGTCTCCGACTGAGAGCAATCCTGTGCCCTGCTGCACAGCGCCCCTGGAGCAGTCCAGCCCCTGGACCTGAAGCCTGTGCCCTGCTGGGTAAGGCTGTGTCCACTTGTCCACTGTCCTTGTCCAGCACCCAGGAGGGACCTCTCACTTGAGAGCTGGTGTGGGGGGTGGGGGTGGAGTAATTTCTGCTTCTCACCTTTATCCTGCCGAAGTCAGCATAACAGAGTGCCCCCCTCGCCAGAGCTATAACAATGAGACGTGACACCCCACAGGCTCAGCCAGGCACCCAGGGCTCCGGGGTCCGTGCTAAGTGGATGACCCATTTCCAGTGCAGCAGGGGGACACAGCCAGCTCACATCTGGAAGAAGCAAGAAGACTTCCAGACTGGCTGCAGTTTCTGCACATGATCACTGGAACCCTGTGTGTGTGTGGGGGGGGTTGGGGGGGCACTCTGTGGATACCCAGCCTATTCCTCCCTGAGCACACAGGTCCCTCTATGCCACACCAAGCCCCCTGGCCACCTCAGCCTGCTCTGAGCCCAGCTGTCACGGAAGCCCCAGGCTTGCATTCTTTCCTTGAGCACAAGGTTAGTTCCAGACCAGCCTGCGAGCTTTATTTATAGCCCCTTATTTCCTGAGGGGGACCAGGGAGGCCGAGGGAGACGTCCCGCCCCTGTGTCCCGCCCCACTGGCCCCTCTGACTGAGAGGGAGGGCGGGCCGGCCAGCAGAGGGCTGGACTTGGCCTCTTGCTGCAGGTACTGGAGCAAATGGTGGGCTGAGGGCCGGCCTGATGTCAGTCCTCAGAAGGCTGAATCCAGCGGGTCCCCACACCCGGGGTGCATATAAGAGAGCAGTAGCCGAGTTGTGGAGCCAGCCCTGTGCACCCTGGGGCCCCTGAGTGCCTGCCACCATCGCTGTCTCTCGGGCTTGCTTCTTGACACGCCAGCCACAAAGCACCAGGTAGGCTGGCTCGGGGGCTCCTGTAGCAAACCAGGGCACTCTCTTGTGGTTTCCAAATGCCTGTGTGGGTCCTAGAGGAAACAGGGCTACTTACAGCAGAGATGGGCAACCTGAGGAGGGCCATGTCTCTACATGCCTGAGGCCACCTCCAGGCAGGGTGCTTGTTCATCCAGGGACTGGATCGGAGCACAGTAGTGGACTTGACACTCAGAGCTCCCAGCTGCCTGGGGCTGGTCCTCCGGGCTCTGAGCCTGTGGGGACTCACCCGAGCAGACCCCTCCGAGGGGCAGGGTCCCAGAGAGTCCCGGTGTCACTCTCAGCTGGGGCCAGTGCAGGGGTGCGTGGAGCAGCCTGGGCAGCCATGTAAGGGTTCTGGGGGCAGCTTGCATACCGCTCGGTAGCAGATCTGGGCCGGGCGGGAGGTGCCTGCCAACTAGCGGGAGTTGACGCACGCCTACCCACCCGCCTGCAGGGACTGCTTAAAGCCGTGTGCATCATCTGAAAGGTGACTGTTTACACGGCCAGCAGGGTTCCTCAGATGCCACACCGGTTAGACCCTGGCTGCTTCCTGAACAGTTGACCGTCCCCAGCAGGAAGGTGAGCCGCTGTCTCTCGGATGGACCTGCAGCCTCCGAGGCGCCCGCGAGGCTGGCAACGGGTCAGAGCTCACTCCCTGGCAGAGGGGTTGGCTCTGGGGCGGGAACATTCTTGGACAGATGGCTCTGTGCCTCTGGTGACCGTGCGTGTCACCCCGTGTGGGCACTCTCCTACTTGTACCCGCTCGCCCATGCCCACTGCCTGGGTACCACAGCCCCTCCTGGCCGCCCCCCTCCCGACCCCCTAGCTTGGAGGTTCTCCATGCCTCTTGGCCAAGTCCCTCTTGCTCGTGGCGGAGGAAAAGCTCTTTGCAGCTTTGTGAGGGTCTGGAGGAGAAAGGCTGGGCTGACCCCCCCTTGCCTTCTGTCCTTGCTGCCAGCCGATGATCAGCAGGGGCCGGCAGAGCCTGGGGAGCCCCGAGGGAGCCACCATAGCTGCGGGACAGCGCTGTCTGTGCCTTGGTCACTGCTGTTGTTATGACAATCCCGAGAGCCGTGACTCACTTGGCAAGCGCTGCCCGCTGACACTGGCAGCACATGAGCTTGAGAGGGACCATGGCAGGCGGCTTGGCCTGGCCAGTGAGGACTCACTTTCCTGCTGGCCCCGCGCTGAGACTCGCCTTCTGGGGGGGCGGCTCCGGGGAGGGGATTTTTATCAGGGGGAAATAAAAATTGACCAGACAACCAGAAGGCAGAAGGTTAGGGGGACACCCCTCCCTGCCCCCCTGCTGCCCATTGTCCCTTTAAAACCACCCTGCGGTGCTCTGCTGAGCCAGGGGCTCTTGCGGGTGCAGGAGTTTACCTGGCTCACTGCGTCCCCCTACGAAGCCACATGGATAGTCGTTCTTCCTGCCGCTGTGGTCAGGTGCCGTCCAGTCGGCTCTGACGCACGAGAGAAGGGACCACTGCCGATCCTCAGCGTCGGGCTGTTTTGAGCCCATGTTGCAGCCACCATGTCATGCCCTCTCATGGGATCCTTCCTATTGCTCACTGGCCCTCCATCTTAACTAGCACAGTGTCCTTCTGCAGGGCCAGGTTCCTCCCGGGAACACATCCATCCTCACCTCTAAGGAGCGGGCTGGCTGCCCTTCTCCCAGGACAGCCTTTGTTGTCCCTCTGCCAGAGCACGGCATTTCATGACACCAACCGCACCGTACCTCGTGGTCGGCTCGGAGGCCGTGAGTCTGGTTTTTGACCGTGTCAGAAGGTTGTGGTAGAATGACTGCTTCGGAGGTGTGCAGGCATGCATGGCTTTTCCACAGAGACTGGCAGGCCGGGCTGCACTACCCGGCGAGTTAAACATTGAAGTCAGGGCACTTCAAGTTGATGGCCTCTCACCCCAGCCACCGGCGGGGCTCTTCTTTGACATTTTCCCCTGGCGGGGAGGAGACTGAGGCACAGGGGCATAGAGGGCTTGCCCGGCACAGCGCAGCTTCCTCCTCCTGCTACCTGCCGTGGGAGAGTGCACGTACATGCCCGATCTGGGAGTGCAGGAGGGCTTTGCTCGAGCCCAATCAGCCCCTCCGACCCAGAGCGACCCTACAGGACAGAGCAGAGCTGTTTCCCAGGGTGTCTGAGACTGTCCCTCTGCACGGGAGCAGACAGGGGGTTAGGAGCACTGATCTTGAGTTTGCCAGCCCAGCACTGAACCCCACGTGCCGCCAGCACCTCCTACGGACCCAGATTTCTTCACGTCTCCTCAGACATCCAACTGACTGCCCCCACGTCCAGCCCAGCCCACTGCTGTGTGCAATTCTCCAGGAGGAGCTCATCGCACAAACTGACAGCCTCATCCTTCGGTGGGGATGCTGCGGAGGTTGAAACGCCGACCTTGCGGGCCACGCCTGGCACTTAACCCACGGTGCCACCAGGGAGGCTTGTTGGCATCTAGCACTGTGTCGATCACAGCTGGAGACCTGAGAGGCTCCCGGGGGTCACACAGGGATCCCTCTTGCCTGTTTGGAGTATTCTATGTTCCTGAGGGCTGGCTTTCCAAAGTCCCGAATAGACTGAGAGATGGTTTTCTTTCATGTGGAAGAGCCAGTGAGCTTCACTAGTCTAAACGTGGACTAGCACTGAGCCAGGAACACAGGTTCCTGGAAGGGTCTAGGGGTTGAGTCCGTGCCTCCCGGGCCGGCCAGAGGCCTGAGTTGGGCAGGGTTGAGGCTGCAGCCTGGCTCCGGCCCAGCCTCCTGCCTTGTGTGCTGGCCTGAGGCCCGAGGGCCGGGGCCCCAGGCCAGCTCACAGTCCCCAGGAATGGAAAACAGGCCTGGAAGAGAAACAGCAAAATTGGGGCAAAAGCATCGCCAAATGAAACATGATTTTCGTAAAGATGCCACACCAAATTAAGTTACTGCTTAGTTTCAAATGCAGGCAGTCTTTATTTCATTTAATTAAGTTACACATAGCCTCTTTCTTGGATTTTCACCAGTATCCATGCCTGAGTGTATGTGTATGCATATGCAGATGTGTATATGCATATGCAGATGCGCGTGTCTGTGTATGCATATGCAGATATGTGTCTGTGTATGTTTATGCAGTCGTGTGTGCTTGTGTATGCATATGCAGATGTGTTTATGTCTGTGTTGCATATGCAGATGTTTGTGGCTGTGTATGCACATGCATATGTAAGGAACCCTGGTGGTGCAGTGGGAGAAGCACTGGTCTGCTAACCTAAAGTCAGTGGTTCAAACCCACCAGCCACTGCTCAGGAGAAAGACGAGGCTGTCTGCTCTTATAAAGATGCTAAGGCTCAGAAGCCCTGTAGAAACTTGCGGTGAGTCAGATCAGCCTGATGGCGGTGGGCTCTGGCTGCGTGTGTGTGCAGGAGGCTGGGGTAGAGCCAGGGCCGTGCCTGCCCACACATGCTGGAAGGGGCTCTGACAAGTTCATAGACAAATCATATGAAAAAAATGGAATTTCCCCTTGTATTTTTGAAGCCCCCTTATGTACGTGTATGCGTGCAAATACTTCCACCCCAAGCAAACCCAATGCTATGAAACCAACCCTGACTGGTAGCAATCCTCCCTGGGCTTATAAGACTACCCATCTGTAGGGGAGCAGCTAGCTTCGGCCTTCTTCAAGTGGAAGGATTGGTGAATTGGACCGCTGACCCGGGGGCTAGTCATCCAATGCCTAGTCCACATTCAAGCGTCCTCCTCGTACTGCTGATGGGCAGCATGGCTCTGGGTGAATTCTTAGCTTTGCCAAGCCTCTACCTTCTCCTCTACACAATGGACTCACACTGTGCACCCCGTGTGTCCTTAGGAGGCCTGGGTGGGGCTGATCCTTGGCTGTGATGAGCAGTGTCTGTCAGCAGGGATTATCCAATGACTAATTCCTGCCGCTAGAAGATTTTGAAAAGCAAATTTCTTATCCACATTCTGGCTTCCCACACCCCCTTCACTGCAGCTTCTTTAGGTAAGGATTCTACAACTAGAGCGGATAGATCACCTTCCCTGCACGAGGCCCCTCCGCCTTGCCTGACACCTGTCTGTGTGTGTGGGCAGTTTGGGTGTGCTGTCACCCTGAGCGGTTTCAGCAGAGCTTCTAGCCTAAGTGCACGAGGTGGAAAGGCCTGGTGATCCCCGTCTGAGCACCTGCAGTGCAACACGGTGGGACACCACAGTCGACCCACAGCCAATGGCGCAGGTCTGGCAGCATCACTCCCTCGAGCGGGGTCTTGGGGAGTCGCGCTGGCCACAGGCGGCACGTGGTCAGGGGGGCAGAGTGGTGTGTTTAGCACTGACCAGGGTGGTTTCTCCTAGGACGCAGGATGCTCCGGCGGCTGGCCCTGCTGGTTCTGTGGGTGTCCCGAGTCTTTCAAGGTGAGTGTGCCCGGCCTTCTCCTCAAAGACCAGAGTGGACAGAGCAGATGCACCTGCCAGCTAGCCTCCCCCTAAACCCAAGACACACTTCCTTTTGAGGATGCGGCGCGAGAAACAACTGAGAATGCTGTGAACGGACAGCTCCTCTCTCGATCCCATGTCCGCAGCACCTGCAATATTTAGTATTGCCGAGCTTTGCTCCTTTCCACTGGCGCCTCACCAAGGAGGCCTCGTGGTGTGCTCGGTGAGACAATGCCCTGCTGAACCACAAAGTCGGTGGTTCGAACCCACCGCTGCTGTGCTGGGGAGAGATGAGGCTGTCAGCTCCTGTAACAATTTAAAGCTATGAGTTTGGAGTTGATTCAATAGCTCTGAGTTTCGGGGTTTTGAATTCTTCTAATGAAAGACATACCATAAATGGTTTCCCATAAGTTGATTTCCTTACGCATTATTTTTAATGGCTAGATGCCATCCCCAGCTATGTCCAGACCACCCCTCCTACATTGCTCCTTTTGCTTTCCCATGCGGCATGTGCTGTGAATACATCTTCAGACATTTGTGATCATGTCCTCAGGACATTTTCCAGCAGAACCGCCAAGCCAAGTGCCTTAATTACTTCCAAGGATCTGGGCATGCTGGCTGCCGCACAGAGCTCAGAAAGCTGCACGCCGGCTTCTCCCAGCCACACTGTGCACTAGATGTTCCAACTTGTTGGCTGCCAGGTGGAACGTTAAGCTTTGTTTAAACATCTTGTCAAGTAACTGCTTTTGAATTTTTTTTAATTTTAGGGTTTTGTTGAGTTCTGTTAACCCTCCTGGCAGCAGCTTGGATGGGGACATAAACCCGTTCATTTCTTGAAGATTCTCTTACACAGGCTTCGAGAGGGGAAGGTCTGTCCAGAGGTAGCAGCTCTTACCACTGTGAATCAGGTGGGAGGGCTCTCCCGGCTGGCTCCCCTGGATCTGTCTGGATCTGTCCGTCAGGTGAATGGAAAAAGTGCGGAGGAGGAGAGAGCGAGGGGGAGTGGGAGAGAGAGAGCGCGCATGCTTCGACAAGTCCACTGATGGTCTAGAGGCAGAGCTAGCTCACCAGGCAGAAGCTCCTGTTCGACTGACTGACAGTGTGCTTTGCTATCTTGTGGACAACAGTTAGGTCACCACACTAGATTACATCATGAAACAATGAACAGCGACCAGAGCAGTGTCTGGACAACTGGTGGAGAGCCTTAGCCAGTCCAGCTGACACGTAAAATTGCCCACATGCCTCGCCACGGAGAACTGAGTCCAGGGGTTGCTGCCACTGCCATCCACAGCATGGCCCCCAACAAGCTGACCGGTCTTCAGGGGACCTCCCTGATGTAATGCAGCTGCTTTCTGTACATTCATCAGTCCCTGAGTTAAATACTACGGATTTCTTTCTGTAACTCCCCCTGAGCAATAGCCGCATGGGAAGGGTGGGTGCACGGTGGCTGGGAGGAAACGCAGCGAGGGAGTAGGCAGAGGAGTTCAGAGTCCGGCACTGTGAGGAGACCATGATAGGACAGCGGGTATTCTATGGACACATGTTCACACCCCTGAGATGGAGTATACCCACCTACCACCGACCCACTTACCCACTCACCTACCCACCCATCTACTCACCTACCTGTCTACCTACCTACCCACCCCCACACGACCTCCCCCCAACCTACTCACCTACCCACCCACCTACCTACTTACCTAACAACTTACCCACCTGCTCACTTACTTACCCACCTACTGACTTAATCACTTATCTACCAGCTATCTGCTTACCCAGTTACATGCCTGCCTACCACCTACTTACGCACCTACCCATCCACCTACTTACCTACCTACATACACTTATCCACCTACTTACTGACCTACCTGTCTACCTAACTACCCACTCCCACATCTGCCTCCCACCAACCTACTTATCTGCCCATCCACTAACCTATTCACCTGCTCACCTACCTACCTACTGACTTAATCACTTATCTACCAGCTACCTATCTATCTAGTTACCTACCACCTACTCACCTATCTACATACTTACCTTTCTATCTACCTATCCACCTAACTACCTACTACCTACCTGCCTAGCTCCATGCCTGCCTATCTACCCATCTATCCACTTATTCACCTACCAATTTATATACCTACACCTATGCACCCACTTACCTATCTATCTACCTACCTACCACCTACCTACCTACATGCTTGCCCATCTATCATCTACCTACCTACTGCCTACCTACCTACCCACCACCTAGCTACCTACTTAGCCACCCACCCACTAACCTACTTACCACTTAACTATGTAGCATCTACCCACACACCCTCTCAGTCACCCACCTACCTATCACTTACTACTATCTCCCACCCACCCACCTAGCCACATGCCCACTTGCTGTGGCACTCACTCTGACCCACGACGACACCACGTTAGGAGAAGACAAGAGGGACCAACATTGTCCTCACGACGGGGTCCTTTTGGAAGCAGATGGCCAGTCCTCCCCACCAGGCACCCCAGGGTGTGTTTGAACCACCAAGCTTTGGGTGGCTATTGGAGAGTGACCTGTTTGTGCAGCCCAGGAAGCCAAAACAGAGGACTGGCTTGCTTTTGCACCATAGTTTTGGCATCCTTGTAAGAAGAGAGGTGGAGATGTAACATACAGACTGAGTGTGCACATCTGTTGTGCATGGGGCTGCTCTCTGAGTGTAAAGACAGGGTGAGTGTGTGCATCTGTTGTGCATGGAACTGAGCTTAGTGTTAAATACAGACTGAGTGTGCACATCTGTTGTGTACAGGGCTGTGTTCCGAGTGTAAGTATAGACTGAGTGTTCACATCTGTTGTGCACGGGGCTGTGCTCCGAGTGTAAGTATAGACTGAGTGTGCACATCCACTGTGCACAGGGCTGTGCTCCGAGTGTAAACACAGGGTGAGTGTGCACATCTGTTGTGCACGGGGCTGTGCTCCGAGTGCAAACACAGGGTGAGTGCGCACATCTGTTGTGCACGGGGCTGTGCTCCGAGTGTAAACACAGGGTGAGTGCGCACATCTGTTGTGCACGGGGCTGTGCTCCGAGTGTAAACACAGGGTGAGTGTGCACATCTGCTGTGCACGGGGCTGTGCTCTGAGTGTAAACACAGGGTAAGTGTGCACATCTGCTGTGCACGGGGCTTTGCTCCGAGTGTAAACACAGGGTGAGTGTGCACATCTGCTGTGCACGGGGCTGTGCTCCGAGTGTAAACACAGGGTGAGTGTGCACATCTGCTGTGCACGGGGCTGTGCTCTGAGTGTAGAGAGCTGACCGTGCTTTAACCTCTTTGTCGTCGTCCTCTCTGGCAGCTGCCACCTGGGATGAGGATGACACTTCCTTCGACCTTTTCCGCATCAGCAACATAAACCGCAAAACCATTGGTGCCAAGCAGTTCCGGGGCCCGGACCCCAACCTGCCGGCCTACCGCTTTGTGCGATTCGACTACCTCCCGCCAGTGAACGCGGCCCACCTCAGCATGGTGGCCGAGCTGATGCGGCAGCGGGAAGGCTTCTTCCTGGTGGCCAGCCTGAAGCAGGACCGGAAGTCCCGGGGCACACTGCTGGCCCTGGAGGGCCCGGGCACCACGCAGCGGCAGTTCGAGATTGTCTCCAATGGCCTGGCCGACTCCCTGGACCTCACGTACTGGACCGATGGGGCACAGCACATGATCTCCCTGGAGGACGTGGGGCTGGCCGACTCACAGTGGAAGAACATCACGGTGCAGGTGACCGGCGAGACCTACAGCCTGTACGTGGGCTGCGACCTGACGGACAGCTTCCCTCTGGATGAGCCGTTCTACGAGCAGCTCCAGATGGAAGGCAGCAGGATGTTCGTGGCCAAAGGGTCCTCGCGGGACAGCCACTTCAGGGTGCGCAGGGCGAGCGGGCTGCGGGGCGGCATCGTGGAGTGGGGTCCAGTGTGTCCTGAGGACCCGGGTTCCCTTGTTTATTCACGCTCACAGGCACACACAGGTACCACGCGCCACACACACTTCTCAACCACCCACCCACGTGCACACCACACACGTACCATGCAACACACACCACACACAATGACCCTCACACACCATGCCCATTCATATACTTGCCTGTGTGTGCCCTGCACAGGTACCACCCATTTACTCACACACATGCATGTGCACACATATCCCATGGACACGTGCAACACACCACACACACCACTCATGCACTCACACACATGCACATGCATGCCATAGACCTGTATCATGCCCACACACTTGTTTCTCCATACACACACGTGTGTGTGCCATACACACGTGCCGCCCATCACACCCACCACACCCACCACACACTCAAGCCTGACACACACAGCAAGTGCATCCTCACACCAGTGATCTGCTCCCACACATGCATGCATGCTGACACATAGGTAGCGTGCATGACATACACCACACACACTACATATACACACCATTACACATGCATTCATTCACATGCATGCATGTGCATGCTCATACACATGACACACTACACCCTGTGCATAATTTTTCATTCACACCCACACACTCCCATATATGTACGAACACCACACACAGCCACATTCTCACATACACTGAGACCCCCTTGCAGCTGCTCCAGCCACGCACGCAGCTGTCTCTAGGCCAGGGAGCAAAATCGCAAGTTGTCCGCGGGGCAGCCCTTGTCTGCTGAGATGGTCAGGGATGTCTGTCCAGGCCTGGTGGGATGGTCTGGGAGGGAGCCCCATTCAAATGTTTCTGTTAATCCTAGCGTCATTTTATTGTAGCTGGAACCCTGGTAGCACCCTGGATTAAGCAGTGGGCAGTTCGCTGGCCTCTGTGGGAAACAGACAGGATTCTCTGCTCCCCTAAATACCTGAGTCTGGGAACCCATGGGCAGTTCTGCTCTGTCCTGCAAGCTCTCTGAGCTGGCGTGGACTTGACAGTGGGGAGGGAGGGCGAGAAACAGTTCCTAAACCCCAGCTTTCTCACTGAAAAGATAGGAAGGCAAACTGTCCATTCCTAAGAAGAGGACCGTTTCTTTCTGTTTGGGGTGTATGTTCATTGTGGTAAAACTGTGTTTAGGGAGAGGATCTTTCCAGCAGCACTGAGTTAGGCCCTGCAGTGGGTGGTCATCTTCTCTTACAGTGGGTGCATCTGGACTCCGTCATGTCAGCAAAGGTCCTGGAAAAGCGTGGGTGGCCTGTCCCTGGGAGTGCACCTGGCTCACTGCGATGCTGGCTCCCACAGTAGCCCATGCCTGACCACTCACCCTGGGGAGGCTCTGGGAGACCTGCTGACTGTGCTCCCACATCCAGGGGATGCTTCTGAGACCGCTAGCCAAACGCAAGGGCCCTGTGGTCACCAGTGTCCCGGGCTAGGACAGAACCTCGTGCAATGTGCGCAGAAGCACACCCAGAACAGGGACCTGGCATGTCCCGCCAAGCTGGGGGCTCACCATCATTCCCCCAGCTTCTTCCTCTGAACTCCCACGTTCTGGTCATGCCAAAAAAGGCAGCTTCTGAACCAGCAGGCTGGGGGTCATCAGTGCAAGGGGTTTCAAACCTGCTGCGCGCCCCTCAGGAGGGACGGCGGCCGCGGCTCGCAGACTGCGCCCTGTGTTTCTCCGCAGTTACGCAGCTTGGCTTCGCGAGTCCCAGCCTGAGCTGTGTCTCTCTCCCTTTGTGGACTGTTACAGGGTTTGCTTCAAAACGTGTACCTAGTCTTTGAGAATTCCGTAGAAGACGTCCTGAGCAAGAAAGGTTGTCAGCAGAACCAGGAAGGTAGGTGTGTTTTGGACACTGTAAACCTTTCCCTGTCTCGAACTGACATCCTATTTGTGTGTGTGTGTGTGTGTGTGTGTGTGTACACGCACACGCACAAACAGTTGTTGTCCTTGAATGATACGTTACGTGAAGGATTGCTTTGGCATAGATTTTAACCTTCTTGCTGTTTTCCTTATACACCCCTGCAATCCACTGGCTGTAAACTGATTTGAAACGATGCAGCTCTTGGAAGTCATGGGTGTTTGAAGACGCTCAAGTTTGTCAGGCTCGATTCTGGACACATTCCTGTTCTGTCCGCTGTTTGATGAGTCGAATCCCAGTGCAGTCGGAGGCAGCAGCCATGGCCCTTCCAGCCGTAATGTTCCCGCCGTCTCCTGATCTTTCCCGTAGGAATGCGGTGAAGCCCTTTAATATATCACACGATCTTCAGGATCGCTTTATGAAAAGGGAATTCCTTGCTTTACAAACAAAGACAAAGAGACCAAGAGGCTACACTGCCTGCCAAGTGGAGCTACTGGTAAGCAGGCAAGCCGGGAGGCTGGCCCAGGCCTGACCAGCAGAATCCGAGACAAAAGCTCTCCTCTCCCCGTTGCCAGCCTCCGCTCACGGAAGCTCTGTCCACAACTGGACCAGCACCACCAGGTCCTGCTTGCACTCTGATCTTCAGTGTCACCAGGTCCCAGTCTCTCTGTGATCCTTGCTGTCACCTTGCCTGGGATCCTCAGTGTCACGGTCCCGCCTGCTCTGTGATCCCCGGTGCCACCAGGTCCCGCATGCTGTGATCCTCACGGCCTCAAATCCTTTGTTACCCGGGGCTCATCCTCCACAGTGGCCAGCAACCCTCACTGCCCTTGAGTCACTGCCGACTCAAGAGGAGCCTGTAGATCATTAGGGGCAGCCGGCCCATCCTTCTCCTGAAGAGCAGCTCCTGCTTGCTGTGAGCCCACCCGGTGACCCCCGCCCCCACCAGGGCCCCTTCAGTGGGCAGTGGCCTATGATTCTTGGGGGTTCTCGCGTGGAGGACTGGCGGGGTCCTGGAACCCTGGAGACACAGCTTTCTTGCATGCTCGCAGCAACACGCAGGCCGCGGCATGGGGCAGATGGTAGAGGGTAAATGGCTTCATTGTGTGAGGCTCTCCAGCAAGGTCACTTTGTGGTTCCCACCGTGGGCTATGGCACACACAAAGGTGTCACCCAGGGTCTACCTGAGGAGGGCAGAGCTGCAGGATTGACGGTTGGTGGGGTCAGTGCAGCGGGACAGCTCGAGGGTCTGGCTGCTCACTTCCAGGTGAGACCCCACCGTTGGCACCGCCTCCCGAGAGGCTGAGCAGACCACTGCTTGCTCAGTGTGGCTGGCCACCAGAGGCCTGGGGTGAAATGCCCTGGTCTGTTGTTTAGCATAGGCACAAGGTCGCACTGAGTCCCTGGGCTGGACTCTGTTGTGGTGAAAGGCCCTGAGGGCCCCTCATCCCACGCTCCCTGTCCTGTCCGACCCTGAGCTGGAGTAAAGGGAAGGAGACATTATACCCCCCACACAGGGGACCAGAGGCTGCCCAGGCCCCCACCCCATGACACTCAACTCAACCCCAACCCCAACCCTAACCACAACCTGCACTTCCCCCGCCATGACATGGCCCCACCTCGCTTTACGTCTTAGGGTCCACCTGGTGTGCCCGATCCTTAACGAGCACCCTGCTCCTCCCCAGTGAGTGGGGCTGGGAGTGGGGTGGGGTGGCTAGACATCTGTTTATATAAATGTCAGATATTTACACAAAGACAACTGGGAAGACAGACCTGCAGGGATGCCCCAACCCCCAGAGACCCACCCGGTCATTTCAAGCAGGTTTAGTTGCCCTGAGACCCTGGGGTGAAAACAATGAGCACTCTCAGCTGTGCCTTAGAAGGCGGCCCAAAAGGCCTTGGAAGAATCATGGCTGTCTGCCGCACAGCCAGGAGGAGCCCTTCATTCCGCAGTGCTGCTCAGACCCTTGGGGGGGTGTCAAGCTGTGTTGGCTGGATTATAGCTGGCTTGGGGCTAGAGTGGAGCCAAGTCATTCACAGCAATGGAGTCAGTGGCCATGGAGATAATGTCTCTCTCTCTCCACACACGGAAACACACACACACAAATGGTCACAAACACAGACACACACACAGGAACACACAGAGACATTTACACATGGACATGGACACACACACATAAATACACACAGGGACACACACACATACATGGACACACACATAGGGATACACAGAGACACATACACACGGACATGGACACATACACAGGGACATATGTACACACAGACACACGGACACGGATACACACATAGGCACATATATGGATACACACACAGGGATGGCCACACACACAAAATTAATTTGCTATGGCAAATATAATTGGTTTTATGGAAATGGTTTTGTGTGCTTGCTCTCAACATACTTTCTAATCAATAGCATATTCTGACAATAGGCACTTTGTAGACGCACAGCTCCTAGTCAGTAGTTCTTGGAACGAGTCTAGAAGCATTTCACAATTAAAGGAGGTGTTAGTGCTAAGCAGGCATGCATAGATGTGTACATCCCGGGTCTCCGGACGCACCACCAGTGCACGCTAACCCGAGACAAAGGCTTGCTCACCTCCTCAGCCTTGCGTCTGTCTCCGGCTCAAAGCACCTGGGCCTGTCGCTGTTTCCATGTTTACGGCCTTTGTGAACAAAAGTCTGTTTCTGTTTCTCAAGGGTTACATGGGATTGACATAAAACCACCTTATAGAAACACCTGCTCCGACTGGCAATGGCACGGCCCTTCATACTCTGTTCACACGGGAACAGGGTGCCCCCCCAAACCAAACTCGCTACCCCAAGTCCATCCTGATGCAGGTGACGCTGAAGGACAAAAGAGCTGCCCCTCGTGGTTTCTGAGGTTCAACACCTTTCCTGGAGGAGCAGACAGCCCCATCTTTCTCCCGCAGATCTGTGTTCAGCAGCACAAGGACGGACGCACTGCACCACCTACACTGCTAGAGAAGGCGTCCCTACTCCACGACTGAGGGTCCCGGCAGAGGCACTGCAGAGCTCAGTCATGTGGGGGAGTTTCATCGCTCTGCCAGTCGAATTCATGGCCGAGCAAGGAGGCAGGCAGATACACAGTCTTTATTTGTGGACTTGCTTCCCCATAATTCCTAAAGGAAAAGGGAAGTAAGGAGTCTGGCTACGTTGGTGATTTGGGGACTCGCTGAGAATGGAATGAATTCAGAATCCACTGAAGATGACCTCTATGTGTACCCACCCGGATGGACATGTCATTTACATGCTCTTCTTTTTACGATTCTGCGTGAGCAGGCTGTGGCTAGGTGACACCGAGTCGGCTCTGAGTCACAGCAAGCCCACGGACAGCAGAGCAGAACACTGCCTGGTCCAGCACCCCCCACAGCCACTCCTAGGTCGGAGCTCATGGTTGTCCATCACTTCGTCCAAGGTCTTTCTCTTTTCTGCTGGCCTTCCGCTGTAACAAGCACGCTGTCTTCTCTCAGGAGGAGCCTCTTGCAGGTGTAGTAGGTTAGAAGTCGGGCTGCTTACCAAAAGGTCAGCCGTTCAAGACCACCGGCGTCTCCGAGGGAGAAAGATGTAACCTCTTTACCGGAGATCCCCAGCCTTGGAAGCCCGCCAGCGCAGGCCTGCCCCACGGGGTCCCTGTGGGTCAGAGTAGGCTCCGTGGCAGTGCACCTGGGTTCTTGATTTGGGTCTCTCCTGATCACTGGCCCCAGTACTTGAACTGACAGCTCACAATCCTTGGCTCGAACGAGCATTCTACTTGTAGTTCTTTCAATACAGATTTGTTTGTTCTTGTGGTAGTCCACGGTCCTTTTAATATATTTTTTCAACACCATAATTGAAATGCACCCATTGGGTTCTGGACTACACTATTAAGAAGGATTCCTTTTCTAACAATTGGTCTTTCCTGGTCACCTGCTCAAAACCAGTGTGCTGAAATCTCATTAACCTAATTTCAGGTGCATTCTTTTTGTATTGCTTCTAAGATTGACTTTGTTCCCTATTCTGGCAACACCCAGCAGGATCCCCCAGGGGAAACGGTTTCAGCGAGACTTCCAGGCTGGAGCTGACCAAGAAGAAGGACTAGGCTGTCCACTTCTGAGGGATTAGCCACTAGAAACCTCAGGCTCGGCACCAGAGCACTATCCGACGCAGTGGTGGGGGCCGAGGCCTCCAGGCTGGAAGGCACCGAAAATGTGGCTGGGAAGAACTGATTTCCATTGAGTAAAGGGTTGAAGGTCTTCATTTGTTGATTGACAACCATCAATCATTGGCATATGGAATGTACCAAGTAGGAATCTAGGCAAGTTGGACACATCAAACATAAGATGGTATTGACGGGACTGATATATGAAGGTTGATATTCTAGGCATTAATTAGCTGAAGTGGAACTGGTCTTGCCATTTTGAATGCGATGGCCCTACGGTTTCCTATATGGGGAATGACAGCGTCAAGAGGGATGACATCCCACCCATCCTCAGAAAGGACATGCTCAGCTCTGTGTTGAGGTACAGTGCTGTCTGTGATAGAATAAGATCTCTGCACCTTCAGGCAAAGCAAACAGCAAGCACACGTGCTGCCATCCAATCAGTGCCCCCGTAGCAGCCCTACAGCACGGGGCAGACCTGCCCCAGGGGAGTTTCTGGACTGGAACTCTTCACGGGAGCAGAGAGCCAGGTCTTTCTTCTGAGGAGCAGCTGGAGGTTCTGAACTGATGGCCTTGTGGGTCGCAGCCCAACATGTAACCAGGATGCCACAGGGCCGATACAACTCTTATTAAAATTCATGTGCAAACCACCAAAGCAGGTGCGAAGGAACTGAAGAATTCTGCCAACATCCTTAATTTAAAATTGACCAAACATGTGATCAAGATTCATTGATTAATTATTGAGTATTGGAATTCTAAAGTTGGAAATTAAGAGGGAGGAACAGTTGTTGGGAAATATGACCTTGGCAGTAGAAATTAAACTGGAGATCATATAATAGAATTTGGCAACACCAGTGGCTTCTCCTTTACAAATACCTTTCTTCCCCATCAACATAAAAGGCAACTACAAGCATGGACCTCAGCAGAAGGAATATGCAAGAGTGTAATTGGCTGCATCGACTGGAGGAGACAATGGAGAAGCTCAACACCAGCAGCTAAAACTAGGCAATGAGCTGACTGCGGAACAGATCATCCATCACTCATATGTAAGTTCATTCTGAAGCTAAAGAAAACTGAAACAAGGCACGAGAGCCAAACTGTGACTTTGAGTCTATCCCCGCATACCTTGGAGAACACCTGGAGACCAGTTGGGCACAGGGAGCATGAAGGACGGAAGACCTGCTGAGCTGTGGAGGGCACAAGAACACCGTGCATGAAGGACGCCCAGAGTCATTAAAAAGACAAGAAAGAAGTCTGAGATCAAAATGGACGTCAGGAGAGAAGCTGACCCTTACTGTGGTGCACAGAGCAGCTAACGCAACTGGAAGCAAAGCTGGCCGGAAAGAGCTGAGCAGAAAACTCAGAAGACGCCAAAAAGTATGATAAGGAACTGGGTGAAGAGCAGGAGCTATAAAGCCAAAAAGGGAAAACATTTCATCTCCAGATGAAAGAACTGAAGACGAAATCCAATCCCCCAGTTGTAATATTGGAGGACTCTAAGAGCACAATATGGCACGATACAAGATGCATCAGAAGGCGCGGAAGCAGTACAGAGTTACTGTACCAAAAAGAACTGGTTGGCATTCAGCCACTTCAAGAGACAGCATCAAATCAAGACCGATGATACTGAAGGGAGACGTCCACGGTGCCCGGAGGCATTAATCCAAAGCAAGGCTCCAGAAATGGATGGAATACCAATGGAAATGTTGTAACAAGCCAACAGCGAAGCACTGGAAGCACCTTCCCATCTGGGTCAAGGAATTTTGAGGACAGCTACCTGACCAAGTTCCCGGAAGAGACCCATCTCCATGCACATTCCAAAGAAAGGTGACCCGGATGTTACATGCAAGTACAATATTGCAGATGATGGTTCAGAAATGGTTGCGGCAGTACATCAAGAGGGAGCTGCCCAAAGTTCTCACTGGACTTAGGAGGGGCTGTGGCACGAGGGATCTCCCTGGGGACCTCAGAGGGATCTTTGTTGAGAGCAGAGAAGGCCGGAAAGATGTTTACATGTGTTCTATAGACTGTGAAAACCATTTGACTGTGTGGCTCAGAAGACTCTGGATAACAATGAGAAGAAGGTGAGTTCCAAAATACTTCGTTGTGCTCCTGTGGAGCAGGCACATAGACTGAGAGGCAGCCTTTCAAGCCAAATAAGAGACTACCGCCTGGTCTAGCATCAGGAAAGATGTGTATCAGAGAGCTTATTGTTCATTCCCGAGCATGTGAGCAGCTCATCTGAGAAGGTGGGATAATAGAAATAGCTGGGGACGTCAGGATTGGAGGAAGAGTAATCGGCACCCTGAGATACATGCACGACACCCCCTCACTTGCTGAACATGAGCAGGACCTGAAGAACGTTCTGAAGGTCAAGGACCGCAGCCTTCAGTGTGGATGGCAAATCCGTGTAAAGGACGCCCAAACGCTCACTCCTGGACCAAGAGACAGCATTGTGGCCAATGCAGTAAAACAAAGGAAGCCCCCAGGGATTGCCTCTTGCTTGGATCCTCAGGGCTCCGCCGAATAAAACTTCCTCACCATGCTGACAAGCGGAAACATCACTGAGGACTGAGGTGCGCCTCACCCAGCCACAGTATTTTCAGTCTCCTCCTATGCCTGGGAACGTTGGGCAACGAACAAGGAAGACCTCAGGATTGAAATCTTTGGACTGTGGTCTTGGGAAGACTCTCTGGCGTGCCGTGGGCTGCCAGAAGCACAGACAGCTCAGTCTTGGGAGTACAGCCGGAATGCTCCTTCAGTGGAAGGATGTCTAGGTTAGTTCTCGTGTGCGTAAGATGTGATCCGGAGGGCCCCGTCCTTGTGGAAGGCCATCCGTCTTGGGAAATTAGACAAAACAAACCTGGCACCGGAGCGGTGACAGTGGGCGGGGTACTGCTCTGTTTCCACGTGCTCATGACATGCTGATTTGGAAGTGGACGGTCCTCTTTGAAAGCCTGGTCACTACTGGAAAGGCCTGGTGTACCTGCTCCTGTGGTTGTCTTAGGTGGGTTCTGGTGCATGGCAGCCCCGTGCAGGACTGTAGAGCTGAATGGCGGTACTTTCCAAAGCTCGACACCAGGTCTGAGTCCCAAGGAGCCTCTGGTGTGTTTGAACCATCAACCTTCCCACTAGGGGTGTAGCGCTTGATCCTTTGAACCACCTGGGGACTCCCACTTAGCAGCCTGCCACCCCAGACCTACTATAGGCACCACCTCCCACCTAGGGAGCTCGACCTCTCTCTCACCCCCTCATGTGCTTCTCCCACAGCAGAGGCCAACACCATCAGTGAGCACACAGAGACCCTGCACCTGAACCCACACGTCACCTCAGGGTACGGGGGCCAGCAGCTGGAGAAGAAGCCGCAGGTGTGCGAGCACTCCTGTGAGGAGCTGGGCCACATGATCAATGAGCTCTCGGGGCTGCACGTGGTCGTGGACCAGCTGCACAAGAACCTCAAGCAAGTGGTAGGTGCCTGGGAGGGTGGGTGGGAGGGCGGGTGTGAAAAGGAGACCCACCGGAGGTAGGTGCTCAGGAGGGGACAGCTGACGAGCCCAGCACCTTCAGCAAAAGCAAACAAGAAGCAGAAATCCACACCCGGGAATCAACTCTCAGCAACCCATCGGACAGCGTAGCCCCGCTCCATAGGGTTTGGAGATTGTCAATCTTGGGGGGGCACCTCCTCTTTCTCCCATGGAGCAGCTGATGGGTGTTTTGGGGGTGCTTCTGAGACTCAACCCTTCTGGGAACAGCCTGCCTCCTCTCCCCCACCCCACCAGGTGGTTCGGGTTAATGACAGTTTGGCTAGCAGCACAGTCCTTAATCTGCTGCCCCTGCCCGCATGGTAAATGGCTGTGGCGGTGGTCCGAGCTGAGGTCCTCTGGCTGTCCTGTGGCCACGAGGGAGGCCAGGTCAGACAGGCGTCCTCACACCGGCCTCCTTACCCTCTGCTGACACCGACCCTCCCTCCCTGCTTGCGGCAATTCAGTGCCAAGACGTTGACGACGGGAGAGGCAGCCCTGGGTCCACAGCACCACTGCTCTTTAGCGGCAGCCACGCCCATGCCTCCCTTGTCCTTGGCCTCTCAGCCACATGGGCCGGTGGACCCTGCCGCCGTGCGCCCAGAAGCCAGCCCATCTGCTGCTCATTCGGCCTCACCACTCCATAGTCCCGTGGCCTCGGCGCTGTTCCTCCGGGTGTCCGCATGGCAGTCCCTGGTGCACTGGCCTGGAGCCTCTGCCCTGTACACCGGGGCGGGGCGTGCTCTTCAGACCCTCCTGGGGTTCTCTCTGGGTCGGGGGAGGGGGACTCTTACCCACTGAGGAATGGCTTTGATGGAGTTGTGGTTTGTCTTCCTGCTGACCATCTGCCTAAGACGGTGGTTCTCCACCTGTGGGTCAGGACCCCTTTGGGGGTTGAACGACTCTTTCACAGGGGTCACCTAAGACTATTGAAAAACACAAGTATTTCACAATATATAATTATATATTGTTTTGCGATTAATCACTATGCTTTAATTATGCTTAATCATGTTCAATTTATAACAAAGAAAATACATCCTCCATATCAGATATGTACACGATGATTCATAACAGTAGAAAAATGACAGTTATGAAGTAGCAACAAAAACAATTTTATGGTTGGGGGTCACCATCACATGAGGAACTCTATTCAAGGGTCACAGCATTAGGAAGGTGGAGAACCACTGCTCTAGGAGAAACGGAGGAGGGTGACTGAAGCTCCGCCCTCTGCTATCGTCTCACCGGTGCCCCCAAGGACACAAAGGCTGCAGCTTGGCCTACACCTTCTACTAAGCTCAGGACTTAACCCCACCTTAGGTCCCCTCTGCCCCCCCCCCTGAGCAGCAGCC